ATGGCGCATGAGAGAAACCAAATGCAGCGCTGCATTCCAGAAAGTGCTACCATCTAGCGAGGATATGCATGTGGTGAAGATGATGTTGCTAGAGCCCGGCTTTCTGGAGTTCAACCTGACCGTGCTGCAAGAAAAAGCCTGCGCAGTATCATCACAACTGCAATGGAGCTCTACAGCTTCCCTACGTAAAGATATGTAAAGCAGTCAAGCTGCGAATAGAGGAGCTGCAATGCAGTTGCCCACTGCGCAGCTATACTGCATGCCTTCATAGTCATGCCATAGCTGATGTCGTCCACCATGCACCCGACTTCTAGGAGATGCTGCAACTTGACGAGCGCCGAATTCCACAGCCCCTTCTTTTTACATGCACTCAAAACTGAGTGAGTCTTCACCAGATTGGGGCATGCCCTTTGGGAGGACAACTTCCTCAAAGTTGCGGTGCTTGTCGTAAGAGGGATGGTGGTGGCATCTCTGGCTCCGAGTGTGGCAGAGGCCCACATTGCTGACGACACCAGGTCCTAATTCCTGCGATGTCGAAACTCTCCGAAACTACAGAAACCGTGAGCGCAGTCTGTTGCTGCTTCCTTCACGAAGCATGACGCGCTTGTCGCAAAGCGGAAGACCATATGCGACGCCTACCGGATCCATCTGGCCAGCTGTTCCTTCAAGCCTCAACACTGGCGGCAGGACTACGTTTGGGAGCCTGAGCAAGCTCGGGGCTCTTTTGGCAGGGGAGGCTTGGCTCAGCGATGACCGTTCCCACTGTGATACCGCACAGCCTCATGAAAATTGCCGCAATACGGCTTGATACTGACAGGGATATATGCATGACATTATCGAGCAGCAAAACCAAGAATCAAGGAGTGCCTTTTTTGCAACATTCGTCGCCTGTGTTCAACTGATTCTGGAGCTCCCCGTCAATTCACTCGCGTTTCAGAGGGGATGATTTTCAGTTGCCATACTGGCTCGGAAGGCCGAAATATGCTGGTTCTATTGGAAAGTCGTGTGCTTCTACTGTTCAACTTGCGACCCTAAGCTGAGCTGTATGTCGTCGTCACACAGATTACAGTCCAATGACAAAGTAAGGCTATGAGTCAGCGGCTCATCTAGATTCGATCTAAGTGTGGATTGTGCCAATATTCTGCAATTGTGGAGTGATGGGAAGGCGGACAATGACCCTTGAGACTGTTGGTCACTCTCTTCTTGGAAACCACTCAGCGCCCGATGTTGGTTGTTGTGTCGGCTTCACACAATAGTCAAGTTCCTAATGACTGGACAAGGCTTACCAAACTAAAGCATTGCATCGTCAACCACACGTGCTAGAGAACTCTAATGCCAAGTAGTAGAACGATTTGTAAGAGTGTCGATAATCAGCTTGTCCTGGTGCCATCCGAACATGACGAAATAATGCTGCAAGCAGTTCAACACTCCTGCACTGTCACCAGGCCAGTCTTCTCTGCTTGCAGGTTTTGCGCTCCTAGCTCCATCACAACCTCGAAGCACGCCTTTACTCACACCTACTGCTTATATCTGCTTAGAATATTTTCCGAGAGCCACTTTACTTCTGAGCTTTTATTCGAAGCGGTGTAACACGAGCACATTACATTGTCATTACATGTTGTGTGCTTGTCTTACAAGCCTGGCTTCTCACAAACTTGTGTACCCCATTTTGGCGCTGCCATCCGCAGTATCCGTCACCAACAGCCACTCGTCGTCGCGAATGCTTGATATGCTCGTTTCAATGTGACATTCTTGGAGTTTTCCAGTCTTGACATGCCTTGCCAAGCTTGTAATCAAAATTGTACAGAACAGTCTTCACAGACATGTACAGACTTGGATAACAACACTGTTACCAGCGAGAGCGAGGTTCGTGCCCAGCAAGCTTCATTTCTCATACCCAGCGCGACTTGTCAGACTTTGGTTCGTGGGTTTTGCCAAGGTTTATGTCGTCTGCATAAGGAGAAAGACCCTGGCGAACTCCTACAGCAATGCTACTCAGTTCTAGTCACTAGCAACGAATAATGAAAATTTTCGAATCGATTATGCCGCCATGGCCTTTGCACGAGCTTGCACCACGCCTCAAGGGCTCACTCTGCACTTTTTTGGCGCACGTTCAGTCGGCGTGTGGTCTTTGAGTTTTTCGCCAAATCCGGATGAGCCCACGGTCCTGCTGAGGATGTCTCAGATTTGGGCTCTGCGGTTTTTGCTTGGAGTTCCTGCGGAGCCCATGATGGCAATGGAGCGGTCTGCCAAACAGAGACTCGTAATCATCTATTGTATGCCCTCAGAATGCGTGACAAGATAACCTGCTCAACATTGCTCTCCGGCTTTACAGAAACTCACGCTACAGTATACTCAAAGTCATGGCGGATGAGCATTCTCCTGCATACATCTTTGCACTGCAAATCTCCCAAGATCTCCCAAGATAGCTTCGACAACACCACACTCTCTGTGCATACTCCGCACATCTGTCTCAATTTCCGTGCGTCATGAGCCGCAGGCAGATGATTCGGAACAAGAAAGGTGCATACCTCAACTTGTGACATATTAACCGTTAAATTCACTATGTCAAGAAATGACAATGTAAGCGCACCAATACAACTCAGCACAACAAGCTTGTAGACCACCTACTGTAACACTCTTGAGCCCCGAGAAGGCTCACACAATTTGAAGGTGCCGGCAGGGGAGAGCTCGTGGCTTCAAGGGAATTCACAGGCGCACCGTTGTTCCGAGTTACGTCTGCTATGCTCGCATGTACATCTCGCGATAGCTCCGTCGCATCCCATCAGCTACCTGGCGCGTGACCTACGAGGATGTACGAGACTCGCAGAGGCTTCATTGAATGCAGCACAGCATGAAAGGACAACGAACACAGGTGCTCCTTGTCGGTCACAAGTCTACTTGCAGCGGTCTCATGGCTTAGCCTCGCAGCACCCTGCACAGTGCCAGCGCCAGATGCTTTCGCTGGACGGGATGGTTGGAACCAGCTTGCAAATTGCGTAGTCTGAACACTGTCAAGCCTGGCGGCATCGCTGCGCACAGCCCGTACAGTACAGTACAGAGCTAAAGAAAGCTGCCCGAGACTTTTCTAGTGTCTAGTGTGAAACGGAATACTTCTCAAGCACAGACGATGCGCAGCAGCAAACTCTACAAACTCTAAAGCATCCAGCATCATCCCGCGCGGAAGAGGTGGGATGCTTGGACATATTGCGGAAGCCACACCGCCAGGCTGTAAATAATTAGCTGTGTTGCCTTATGGGCTGATCCCATTGTAACATCCAGAGCAAGACGTCTGGCATGGTTCCAATATGTTCCAATTGCAGGCAAACCAACCAACATATAAACCGGCCCTTTGATGCTACTTCTCACATAGCCCAGCAAAGAGCACCTCGTGAAAACTGTTGAAGTGAAGCCTCTACATTCAGCTGAACCTGGCAACACGGCTAGACACTCCTGTGATGCAGTGGCGATACAGCGACCTTCACTCTCCATCTCTGTGGATGACAATGTCCCGGAGGTTACCAACGAACTCTTGCAGCACGAGATGTTCTCTGATCGCCATGGATGCCAAATCAATACACATTTCGCTTTTTGGGCTGTCTTGGCTGGCATGCTCGGGAGCAACTAGATTAACTAGATGTTGTCGCTTCAGGCTGGTCAGTCCTCCAATTCTGATGACCTTCGGCCAGAGCTGTAAGACTTTTCGTGATCAAAGTGCTTGGACTTGGACGGTTTACCATGGTTGGGCTGAGGCGAAGGTTGCACTGTGACGCCACCCCATGCTGCCGCTTCACGCGGGCAGGCCAGGCCTGTTCAACTGCTTGACACATCGGCGCTGGCCGCTAGCTGGGGAGATCAGGTTTCAAGGATTCAACGGGCAGGGGCTCTTGAGAAGCTGCTCAAAGCGAAATCACCTGCAAGAAATTCACGGCTGGTACACCGGTTAATAAATACGGACAGTTGTGTCTGCATAGATGGCAGGCACGCCTAGGTTTGCAAACGGCTGCTGACCATTTCGTACTACCGTTGGGCCTGCGGGCGGGTTTGGTGGAACATCTCAGATTGGGGTCCCAGCTCACTGGCACGTGCAGATTCACAAGGACGGTATTGCGCTGCAGGCCTGTCTGCCGGAGTCTGTCCGTGCTTTGAAGTCGTCTCATAAGGTCTTCCCTCCGGCAGTGGCTGCAGCTCTGCAGTGCAGGGCTGTCTTGGCCAAACTGTTTGCCTCTCCAGTCGTAAGCTGGAGAAAGAATCGGCCTCTGGCTGGAAGGGAGGCAAAGCAAAGCAGCCTCCTGCCCTGAGGCCGCAGAGACTACCCCAGAAGACCCTATAGTCGCAGAGTTCTCGCACGTGTTCGTTTTTACAACTTCGGGGAAAGGGGGGAGGGGCGGATCGACATCATTTGTGCTTGGGCCGTCGTGATAAAATGCCTTGAATTTCCTCCTGCTTGCCTGGACAGCAGTGATGGAGCCCAGCGGACCTAGCTACACAGGAACTCGTGACATCCCTATCCATGGGCGCACGACGGTTCTGAGTGGAATTGAAGTGCATTCATCCAATGTGCCTTGCATCCTGCTCGTACTAAATACTGAGTCAAGAGTTGGAAGTTAGATCTACTCTCGGCCTATGCTGTCCTCATTTAGATGGGCCGTCTCTGTGCCCGGGCACAAATACCTCGCGTTCTGAACAGCCTTAAATGGTGCGCACGGGCACAATGACACGGCAGTAAATCAGATCGAGCACAGCTGTGACTCTCTTCGCACTGTACACTTACTGTCCCATCCACCGTCCCACGTGTGGTGAGGAGTATGGGCATCAAAACGGCATGAAGTGCAAATGGATCCGCGCGCATATGAAACAACATATTCCAGATGGAACATGCTACGAAGCTAAAATTGGACCAGCGACGATCCACTCATCGGTGCAGACGGGCATCCTTGCAGACCTTTTGTCCGCAGAGCTTTGCTTGTGGCAGTGGTCAAACTGAACGAGCGTCCGACTCATACCTGAGACGCACTTCCCAAGTTGTGAGCACGGCGCATTCACAGCGAGGGGCTTGTGCAAGCACAACAATCCAAACCGCTGAAGATGCCGGGGCCCTGGCTCGCCGCGCCCCAGCCCCGGGATGAAGGCGCGGGTTCCGGGCGCGGCGGTGTCGCGTTGGAGGGCCTCCGCGGTCTACCCTAGGCTCTCTAGGCACCGCCCTAGCGGCTAAGGCCGCCAGGCACTCTGCCTGCCAGCTGTGTGCCATGGCCATGGAAGGATGGATACACCTCGAGTTGCAGAGCTTCCGACCGCTTCCCAGGGCCGCGACTCCAGCTCTGAGATCTCGGCCGCTGGATCGGTCACTTGCCAAACTGCGCAACACAGACCACACTCAAGGACTCAATCGAAAAACTACGCAGTATGAGTAACACTCCACACCTGTGCCAGGGACAGGCCGCACGCTGTCCACGGGAGACATTGGAATTGCCTGTGAAGCCGTCCAATTGCAGCGGGGCAGTTATGGCGTGCTGAACTCCCACGATCTTCGCCGTGTATGCTGTGGCCTCTTGCGGTTGGGTAACAGCCTGGGCAACAAGACTGGCACCTCTGCTGCACAAGCAGCTTCGGCAACATCTCCCTTCTGACAGTTAAACTGTGCGCATCTCGATTCCACCATGATCGGGAAACGAGACAGCCAATAAGCGCTGTTCGACAAATGTGTCTCGTCTTCTCACTCAAGCCTGTATTGCTTAAGGACTCTGCTCTCGTAAGCCTCGTAACATCTTGTAATTTGTAGGATCATTCTTCAGCAAGCCGTGGCCGCTGCCGGAAACGTCAAGGTGCCCAGGGGTAGCCTTGGCAGGCTGCGGCACATCTGCGATAGGTGCACCTCTGTGGCTTGGAGGAAGAACCGAGCCGGTGGCTGTAGCGGAGTGGTGACGATCGCTGGTAAGGCCTTGCTTCCACAGTTCTCGAGGCGGCACTGCCGAAGCATGGCTAGCTGTGTGAAATGGAGAAGCAAAATGACATAGCACACCAGAACGTGTGAGTTTATCTTTAAGACTTGCTGTGGATGGTATATCTTGGGAGCGTGCAGACAACTCACTATTTGGCGCTCTTAATTTGTTGTTGTTTGAAGTTCTGATTTGTGTTGATTGATTGTTGATTTCCATCGCGCTTTTTACTTATGTTACAGTTAATTTCGCTAGGCACTTTTGGCTTTGGGAGTTGTTTGTTGATTTTCCTACGGTTTTTCATTCTGTTGATTTTTTGGATTTGTGTGATTTCGGATTTGCGTGAATTTCCAAAGTGTTGTTGATTTTCTTGGTTGTGTAGGATTCCCATATATTTGGTTCACTAGCTTTTGGTTTTCTCGATTGCTGATGATTGCAGTATAAAGCTTTTAGCTCCTAGGTGTTGCTGTTTTTTGTTCGGTTATGTCGCTTCTTTTTGCTTTGCCCAGGTGTTTTTTGGAAAGGACTTGATTTCCCTGGTTGTGTGTCTTCTGGATGTGTTCAATCTCCCCTTGTTTTGTTTTCCTGTTTCCCTACCGTTGAGTGGTTTTGTTGACGATTTGCCTAGGTATGTTGCTTGTTTTATGCATTTGTGATTCTTTCAATTGCCTAGGTTGCTTTTGCTCGTGCTTGTGTTCTATTTGACATGTCTTGGTGTTGTTGCAATTTCTCTATTTTCTTTGCTTGGAAAGTTGCCCTAGAAACTAACAAACCCAAGGTTCACACGATTCTGAAGCTGCCACTCAGCATTTACAAGGAATGCAACTCTGAAGTCTATCCATCGCTCCGCCGGCTCCTGGGGTTGGAAGTTGAAACTGGTGACCTTTCCTTGTCTCTGCGCCTCGAGCTTTACACTCCACTTCGCCTGAGCTCCCCACTGTGCCTGACCCAACCCTCAGCGGCCGGTCTCGAATGTTTTGGGGTCAAGTCTACAGTCTTCCGCGACGAGCACACCTAGTTACATCAATGCACTGCGGCCTGCCTTGCTGACATGCGGCACATTCGCAGTTTAGAAACGTCGCAGTGTGACGGCAGTGACATGCTTTCGTGCTTCGTGCATTCATGGTTTGCAGACAGGCAGCACGACACCGTTCTGTGTGAGGGGAATGGACGCCACCTGCTGCGAACTTCTTACTTCCTGGCTATTTCCCTCCTGCTTCCGGGAGTCAGCGGCAGGTATTCAAGAGCACGAGACATTCTGACACTACCACACCCGCGAGTGCAACTATCCGGCAACAATGCTTTGCGCCTGGTGGCTGGTCTGCCTTGAGTGCAATTGCAGTGTTGCAGGTTAGCACGTTTTCGCAACTGTAATCACTGTAATCCAACCATTGCGATAAGAAGCCTAGCTGCACCTCCTAGGCGTGTGGAGCGCTGCAAGTTCCAATACCAAAGCAAGACAACCAGAGTGTCCGCGGCCCGACGACCCGGCGAAAACAACGTCAACATTGAAACGTTGCATCCATGCTCACGGCATCGGAGTACCAAGAACCACATAATTCATAAGAATATGTAGCAGGTGATGACAGAGGTAATCACGGGAGAAACGACAGACCCGCCAATGCAGTGAACATGTGGTTGCAGACCAGATGGACTGCGGAGGGAAGGGGCTAGTCAAGACAGGGATCAAAAGCAAATGCATTAACAAGGATTGAGTATAGCAACGATCTTGAAGACAGCGAGAACTACAAACACCACCGCCACAAAGCCAAAGGCATCTGGAGCAGCGACAACAGCAGCGATGCAAATCAACACTGATGAAGACCACGGATACCACTACGACAACCTCCACTGCTTTGGTTGGGCGCAGCCCTACGTCAGCAACACCAGCACCAGCGTCAGCACCACCACAACACGAGAGTCACGAGAACAGCCGTTGGGAGCCGGCCGAAACTATGATCTTGATGCAGCCAGGGTCTTCACTGCAGCCCGGGGAGCACTTGCGAGGGACCCTGGACGAACGGCTGGCCTGGCCGGCATGAGCCCTGCGCCCCACAGAGGGTCAACACTTCCGGCTGGACACGGTGTTTTCTTCGTAGCCAAGAACGATTTCTGCTGGACAGCGGTCCCCGCGAGAGGATGGTGCCAAGCTACCGGGCCTGGTGCCAAGGGTGGTGCAAAAGGCCCAGGCCTTAGCAGTCTGTCAGCAGTTGGGCTTCGGAGACGGGGCTTCGTGCCAGAGGCTTCGGGGGTCTGAGGTCCCGGACGACAAGGGATCAGGCAGGTCGGAGCTTGAGTACACCTGCTGCTGCTGCTGCCCTGTTTTCGACTCCGGAATGCAGCTTCTATACGGCCGATCGTGGCAGGCCTGTTGTGAAGGAGCACGGCCGTTGCAGTAAGCAAGCCACTTCTCCCGCAGAATGGGCCTCAGGCGACCGAGAGCCAGCGTTTACGCACATGTTCTATAAACAGCCAAGTGCCGGGCTCGTACTTGTCACGAACAAATCCCGGGCCGTCGCATAACGGTGAAGCGAGCATAATCTCGGGAATTTGAATGGACAGCAAACAACAACCGCCTCAGCAGTGCAAAAACTGCCGCAACATCGGGCCTGACGCAAGTTCCTCCGCAGCATGGAAAGAGTTTGAAGGTTGCTGGACACGCCCTTCACCTGCAATCTCCACCCTCGTCAAGCTATCCCCTGTGGTCAGAAGGCTGTGATGCAGGCACCTTGGTGACGTATTCCTCCTTGGCAAGCGAGAGCTCTAGGCAGCAAGCGATTCCCGCGGTCTAACGACTCTTTTGCAGCAGTGCCTGACAAGAGCAACATGCTGTGAATGCCGTGTCGTCCGACTGTCCCTTGCTAGGCATGACCTCCCAGTGCGCCTGAGTGCTAGCGGAGAACTCGCCCAAGCCAACCGCGCTGAGCAAGGTGTGGCAGACCTAGCAGTTCGAGGAATACAAGCGGCATCGAGACAAGTAGCGAAAGCAAGTGGACCAACTGACCAACAGATTTCGATACTAAAGCAGACGCTACGCTGCTACTGCTACAGAGTAAGCTACAGCTCGTGTAGTGTGAGGCAATGTGGAAATTACCCTTGACTGGGCCGATGTCCATCTGTTTACAACATAAACACATTGCATCCTCAATTCAACCCGATCATGTGCAAGACTTTGCAATGCAGAAGCTGCGGCCATCATTTCCAAAGCAGGAGCTAAAGAAGCAGCGCTGCCCGCGAAACATGTTGAAGGTGTAAGCCAGCACATCGTATGCGAGCTGGCAATCATGTTGTATGGCAGAGGCGGACGCGAATTTTGTACCCCATGCATCCCCGTCCATCGCAGGCTCGCTGTTGAGCGGCATGTGACATGCTGCGACCTTCCTCTGCAGCCTCTTCAGATCTGAGGAGTACCAGTAACACAGACAGAGGGCTCGGGTAACGGGCAGGAAAGGTTTGGCCCAGGAGCACCGCTGCAGCAGCTTCAGCTACCGTTAAGTGCCAGAGCAACTACGGCGCTACTGCGAAGCCTGGCTTCTCAAGACCTGCCGGCGATGCTCTGAGCATCGCCTCTCGCCGCTCTGCGTGAGGATCTTTATCACGGGCCGGCAGTCCTGGCCCAAAAAAGCAGCAGGTCCTTCGATAGCCACATCCAGGGGCGTCTCTCCAAATACCGACTCCATCACAGGGTCCGCCCGGCCGTCCAGAAGTGTCTTGACCAGGTGGAGGTTGCCTGCAAGGGCTGCATAGTGCAGTGGAGTTTCGTGCATGGCATCCAGGGGATCTGGTGGAAAGCCGTGCGACAGCAGCCGCTCAACAGTGGCATAGGAATTTGCTGCGACGGCTTCGTGCAGGGTTGACTCACCCAGCGTGCCTTTGGCTAGCTCTGCATTTATGCTGAACCCGGGGATCGAACAAATTTCTTCCAGCTTCGCCAGTTCTTGGTCACCGGAAGCGGCCAGAACTGAGACCAAGTGAAACGCTGCCCAGCGCTGAAGCCGCCGTCGCAATCGCTCCACCCCTCTTCCATTGCTTCCTCGGATGAAAGCTAGAATAGCCTCCCGATCAGATGCGACAGTGCAAGAAGCAACATCAATGTCTACGTTGAAAACTGCCTCCGTTATAGCACGAGGTATGGTACCAGACTTGGAATGGCCATTCGGGAAGAGCTTCGTGCACGCCATAACGCCTGATGGACAAGCTAAATAGATCGCCTGTCCCAGACGAGCTGCACATTCCAGCTGGTAAAGGCGCCATGCGCGGGTGATCCTCCACGGCTGGGTTTGTGTAGCAACGCCGCACTGAACCATCGCACCCGAGGTCACCAGCAAGGATCGGCATTCACGCTGCGACTTGTCCACAACAAGTTGGCCCCTTTCGAACTGATTGCTCCTCCTGTCGGCTTCTACTTGCTTCGGGTTCTTGGCCAGCAGCCACCAGTAAAAGACCGCAGAATCTTTCATTCCGGTTGCTTCAGCAAACCATTCAACGCATGCCATGACGTCTGCCAAATACATGGACGCATGGTAATCGATGAAGGTGTCTGGAACCTGCGGCCCTTCAGCCACGAGTTCCACGTACGAACAGTTGCGTTTGGATGTCTCCTGAGCGGATGGCTCATCAGAAACCGGTCCAAGCTTAGCATTGCATCTGACTAAATATGGTCCCCCATAACACGCTTAAACCCCAAACGGGCAACTAGATGTGCTCTGACTGGTCTCCTTGATGATGAACTTCTCCGTGACTTGGTCTACCGTGATGGATTCCCATGGAGCCCCAGGCAAGGACTTGCCAAGAGACGTCCGGGCCTTGCGCGCAAAAGTCCTGAGTTGTCCAAGGGTGATTCCTCTTTCACGAATCTGCGGCAGTTCGCAGCCCCGGTTCCTCCGGCATGCACCAATTAGACCGATCACTGATACCCGAACATCCATGTTCAAAGCCTCGAAGGCCTTGTGGTGCTTGATGAAAAGGGCATGCTCCTCACCTTTGTTACCGCCATCTTGACCATCCAGCTGAGGTCGCCCGTCCACAAGCACAAGGTCACCGTCAGGACTTCGATCTACGGTTAAGAGCCCAGCTTTCTCTGGAACACCAGCAATGAAATTGAAAATCTGGCGCCTGTAGGCTGCCTCAGACGCGGTGCTGTCTCGCACATCCCACTGAGAGATCGCATCAACAAGAGGCCCGGAGGAGACTGCATTGGAGCCCACAAGACCAGCAGAAGTGTAGAGCTCCAGGGCCTTCTCTTGTTGGATGGTGTAGTGCAGCTCCTGGAACAGGGGGAGCCGAGTAAGTTTCTCTTCTAATTTCAGGAGATCTCACTTTCAAAATGGGAGCTCCAGGCAGCACCAACTTCTCCGAAGCGAACCAGCATCGCGATCCACCATCAGAATGGTCGCCTCCGCAAATTCCACGGCTCTGACAAAAGGGGTGTCCATGATAGTGGCGCCGAAGTTCTCGCCGAATTGATTGTTCGCAAAAGTGCAAACCCAAAAGGTCGTGCATATGCTCAGTGCTCGGTCGTCCATTATCTTGTCGATAGCGCTCATGAAATCGGAGAACCGACCTCTCCGGGGTCACAGCAGATGTGGGCCTTGCCGAATACTACATTAAATGCCTCACGCAAAGAAACCCCTTCCGCTCGGACTTCCGCGCGAGAGCAAGGCTTTTGTACACTTAGCTTCCTGATGCTTATCATCAATATAGAAGACCTTGCTCGAGTCGCAGCTTCTTAGGCTCAAGGCTGGCGATGGGCTAAGGGTCACAAGACGTTGAGCTTCCGCGAATCTTGTGCTCAACTTCGGCCAGACCCAAGTTGGAGACGAAATGTTTGGCACGTGCGCAGTACCCCGGTAGTAGTTGCAGTGGGAGTATAGGAGTAGGAATAGGAGCAGGGGTAGAAGTCACAGGATGAGTTTAAGAAGAAGTAGAAGCAGAAGAGGAAGAAGAAGAAGAAGTACATGCAGACTAGTAGTAGAAGTAGAAGTAATTAGGGGTAGGCGTAGAAGTAGAAGCAGAAGTAAATAGAAGTAGACGTACAAGTAGCAGCAGAAGAAGTAGTAGTAGTAGTAGTAGTAGCAGTAGCAGTAGCAGTAGCAGTAGTAGTAGTAGTAGTAGTAGTAGTAGCAGTAGTTTCCGTAATAGCAGCAACAGCAGCAGAAGTATGCGCAGCACCCGTACCTGCCTTTAACTAGTGAGCGGCTGTAAAGCCTTCCGGACTTCCGTGCGCCGAGGAACCTAAAAGATTCTCGGCAAAATACGTTACCACAAGTTGCCCTGGACATAGGCGAAAGAAAGCGGAATAAAGTGGATTTCGGCAATACCCATGCAAGGAAGAGCACGGCAAGAGTACGGGAAGAGGGTTCCATCCTCCTGACCGAGCCTCCCCACCAATGACTGATCATTAGTTGCGGACGTTGTGGCTTCTCACTGACAAGCTCCGCCCACGAGTAGCCTGCAAAATGGCCTGTCATTGGCACGTTGGTGGCCACCTTCATTTCGCGGAACTGAATGATGGGCTTAATGACCTCATCTGTAACGTCGTACAGATTCAGATCGTGCCAGCTCAACTGCTTATCCTCGGCACGGCCTGAAGTCCCAGACCTGGATTTGTCATCGCAGGTGCGTTTCAGAAGCTTGGCTTTGCAAAGCCGCTGCAGAAAGGCCCGCAAATCGCAGAGCTGCTTGATAGTCAGCGCGCGTTCTGCAATGTTTTGAATACATATGCGATCTCGCTCCACTGGCCAGGGGACAGGCATTGCCACTTCAAAGTTAAAGTCATCTACTGATGTGGCTCTTATAGCTACTGGAATGCTCCCCAGCTAGTTTGTGGCACAATGGCTTTGTTCTAGCAGGCCGCTGAATAATAGCTAATAACCAAAAGAGCAAGCTGCGGTACCCTAGAGAAGCAAAACCATCACATCAGAACATGCGACGTACACACGGCAGTCAACCGCCTTTTGGACATCTAACTGTCGACTCGACTGGGACATTGACATGACCGTGACAGATCATCACAGCAGGGAAAAGATTCGTGCAGAGCCCGAGCCGAAGCCCAAGTCAAGCTCCAAGCCCTTGCGCCGTGGGTGCTTCCAACCAGGCACACGGCCGGGACGCCTCGGGAAACGACGAAGAAGCGGCGGCCCAAAATGGCCCAAACGCTAGGGCTCCCGCCCATGAAGAGGGATTCGCAGGTTGTAGTGGTGTTGGAGTACGGGAAGGTGTCCAAGGCCAGGTCTACCTGCGCAGCGAATCAATTCCCCCTGAGCTTTCCTCCTTGCCTTCCTTGCAACTCATCCAAAGTTTACTGGCTCGGAAGGGCTTCGTTCTGAGGTGCTACAAGAGCCAGCCGCTGCCTCGTTGTAGATGTTGAGGTGTTCGTAGGATGTGGGAGCAAGCGACAAAAGCTTCAGCCTGGCGAGACGCAGTGATGTGGTGCATCTTCTTAAGTCCTGTTCATAAACCTTTTTAGTACTTACATGTATTTCCATGTCAGAGAGCTGCCTGGCCTGTGCTCCTGGATGCCGTAAGCTTTGAACTTGTTGATGAAAGTGGCCTCAAAGGTTGCGAGCTATACGCAATGTTCACACGAAACAGCACAGAGGAAGCTAGTCAATGTGTATTTGATAGCATTACAGAATCCAAGTTGCGGCATGCAAGTCAGCTCTGCCCACTGTCAACAATCTGCTATTTGCAACTCCCTGTCTGCTGGCCTGAACGTCTTGAGAATAGAAACCCTTGTTCTTCACCAGCAGCTTGCTGTTTGGAACCTGCATCACTATAGATTCTTGAGTTTGACACACACTACCAGTCCATGAGGCACAAAATCAAGCGTGAGGGCAGCCTCGTGCAAGCAACGAGCCCACAGTGCGACGACGGGCTCGCCCACTTTCGCAAGGCAGCTGAAGCCTGAGGATACGGCTGAAATACTAAACGAAACCGAAGACAGTTGCATGCAGCTGCAGGTTTTTCGCAACTGCATGAGACACACACACACACACACGAACACAAAAGCTGAGTGAGCAGGCTTCCGAAGGTGACGTAGCCGTTTCGCAGAGCCGGCAGGGACCTGGCAACGAACCAAGTCGAAGCCCCTCCTTTTGAAGCCAGTGGAGACCACGGTCTCAGTATGTCTCAGTGCAAAGTCCATGCTCCGAGGGGGCGAGGGGCTTGTGCTTGGACTGCAAATTTGTGCTGACGCCGGCTTACTGAGGGCGGTCGGTGTGCTTCCGATCCTTTCATGGTTCGCAGAAAGAGCCTACAACAACCGAAAACCTAGACCCCGCAAAGTCTAGAACAAAAACGCGAGATTCCGCCACTTTTCTGTTGTGGCTGCTTGGCAATACTGACGCGGCACTGCCTGGTTATTATGTGCCTGGCCATAATATCTTCAGGTTCTTGGGTGCTGGCACTATGAAATACAGCGTGAAGTACAGTAGCTTTGTGGAACTCATTTGCCGGCTAACCCAGTCAGTTTTGTAGTGTTTCACTGGATGGGCTAGAGCACTCTCTCGTTGTCCCTCCTCTAATTCTGGCTTGCGTTCTCTGCACGGCTCCTAGACGTTCGGTCTCTTGATTCGAACCGCCCCCCGCTCTCAAGTAAGGCTGCAGCTCTACATCCGGCACGCGGGCTGGAGGTGTGTAGCAGAGGAAGCACCTGAGATGCAGGAACTGCCTGATGCACTTTTCACACATACAACATGCGCACCCTCAATCCACATCATGCTATTTGTGCTCTTCTCGGCAATGTTTATGTCACTCTCAGATTTTGGTCAGTTCTGCGAATGTGCCATGTATATGCCATGTATATCAGCTACAGCCTTGCACGAACCAGCTTGCCACTTTAGCCAATAGCGACTGCGCAAACGAATTCTCGAACATGGGTATGGAAGACAGCATTGCAGGGCATCGCTAGAACAAGGATGGGGAGCCTTCCCAAAAGAGGATCAGAACTTGTTCGATTGCGCTCGTTGCCGAAGAGAAGAACAAGACGTGACAGTATCCAAATGCCACCTTTCCCGGCACTCGCTGCTCACCGTCCTTGTTGAACTCAACACACATAGCACGATGCGCCTTGGCAGTGCGTCGAAGAATTGTTGTGAGTACCTTGTCGAGGTCGCCGCGGCTCGCACCACGGCCTCCAAAGTTTTCCCATCTTGCAGTTCATCAAGTCTCTTGCCGACGGCATCGTGCGGGAGAATCGGGACGTCCCAGCCCTGTGCCCGAAGTTCAAAGGGCTTAGTGTCCTTTCGCTGCGTTGTCTGCCAACCCTCCGCACGCGAGGAAGCCGCAGATATTGATGGTGATGCCACTGGATTGGTCCGAGCCCAAGCTGGCGGCTGCAGCTGTGTGTGTCTGTGTGCGTGGTTGTATGGAAGGTGTTGTAGCTAACAGTCTCCGGGCGGCCTTCCTGGCCCGAGAGTCACGGTCCAGGCGGAACTCCTGCCTGGACACCTCTCCAGGCGGAAATCCTGCTTGGAGCGGTTGAAGTCATGGCTGACAACCCGCCGTGCACCCATGCGCAAAAACATTCGGTTATGTTGCTGCGCGTTGCAGTCGCCGGCATCCCGGCTGTGTGCAGTTCTTCCAAAACACATGTAGGCGACTACAATTCTGGTTTGGGGTGCTTGTTGTACACGAGTGGTGCCCGCACCTTTACCTCGATGCCTTGGCCCGGGACGGGCAAACTCACTGTGGTCGGCCTCCTGTGGGGCAGTGACGGTCCCTGGCTGCTCTCGCTTTTCTGCTCTTATCATGAGCCTTTGCGCCGCTTTGCTTCAGGCTCTTCAGGTGCCTCGGCAGTACCGGCCGGCATGGCCACAGGCTTCCGCCAGGCCTGTGGTTGACCAGTGCATCAGCGCCAGATTGATCAGATCGGCACTTAAAGGCATCAAGTGGCCGGTGAGCCCCTCCAGGAGCCCATCCAGCAAGCCTGGTCAACCGCCACACCGTATGAAGGGAACTGTGGTACCAGGACCCGGAAGGTCAAGTGCAGACACGGGTACCCCACTAATCGGGTCAGGCGCTAAACCTCTACAGGGAAAGGAACCCTGGGCCACACACAAGGCATGCCCGGCCTCCACGGAGACACCCGTGCCACCACTGACATCGATCCCAACGCTGGATAGCACTGCTCGGCAGTTCTGGTCATAACTGCTGTCGTCCGTGAGGAGCTCGGTACCGCTTCCACTCGTCATTGCCTTCTCCGGCCTGCTCATGTGAAAACCCACACCCACGAGCAAACCAGGGATGCCCGTCATCGCTACCATCTCCGCCGTCGAAGAAACCCCAGCTGCATTCCAGGGAGCTTGTCAAAGGACATTGCGTACCTTTCCCTGAGTCGCCGGGTCTGGCTGTTGTGTTGCTGCCTGGCTCGCATGCTTACGCATGGCCAGCACCACCTCTCTCGTCGGGCGGTGCTCGCAGTAATTCGCTTGTCTCTCTTCAATCTCCGCAGTCAGGTACAAAATCTTGCTCCCTGAGGAGGAGCAGTTCACAGCTAAGCTTCGCGAAAGCTCTTCCCTTGAGCTTTCTTGAGCTCAACATGCAGCCAGCGAGTCAGCAGTTTACCACGATGGCCAATATTGGCCACGTGTCTTGCTTCCTCCCAAAGACTCTTGCTTCGTCTAAGCACCCACAGGCTCACACAGGGACATGAGGAAGACAATCCAGATATAGACATAGCCATAGACATAGAGCAAATACAATCAAGGTTAACACTCAACAGCAACACGAATGGAATGCCCTCGCCAACTCTCAGCGGGCAGCACTAGCATGCAAACGCAGTACGAGTTAACCTGCTTCCAAATACTCTAGCTGGAAAAGAAGAGCTGACAGAGTTCGAAGACTCTGCTGACGGCCTTAAACTTGCAAAATGCCCAGGCAGCGTGAATGGCGCGCTTGCTAGTGGGTGGCATACATCCCAGTCCCAGACCGTCTCGAGTTCTCTGGACTCTCCATGTATCCAATCCCCTCTGAAGATCACACCAGCAGAGGCATCTGTGTCAGCCATTCAGGACAAGTTGTGCCAGTCATTTTTCCAATTGATTTTCCTGCGATTGACAGAGCCCTCTGCCGCTGAGGTAATTCGGATGCGCGGTACAAAACCGGTGCAGCATGCGTGCTTGATGCAACCGTTCCGCAAGTGAAGCTTGCAACGCGTTACTGAAGTCGCCAGATGCCACCGCGAATGAAATCCAAGAGCCCGAGGACCGAGCCCAGGTATGCGTACCAGTTCCTCGCTGAAGGGCTGTTGAGTGTCCAGCCTCAACGGCTTGCAGAGACTTAAGCCGCGCCAATGCTGGATTCTTTGAGATGCCCGCGGATCGACAATGTCATCCACCAGCCGGTAGTCAATTGTGCCTAACCTCGGCAGTCCGATGCTGCAAGGTTCTAAGCTTGTGGACAGCTTTCGGGCCAAGGCCCCGTGGTGTTGTTGTAGCCGATGTAAGTGATCCTGGCAAGTCGGAGTCGGGCTACACCGGCAGAGCACCATGTTGACAACATTTCGATCTTTCGTCCGAGCCCTGCGCTGGACGGGCGCCGGCTTCCTTAAACAGTTGGTGCGTGTTGCACCCGAGTCCAAAAGCATTCTCGTGTGTGATTCGTGCATGGATCAAACACTGCAGACACTGACAGATGATTCACGGAAACTTGTCCGCAAGCTGAAATAAGCGATCACTGTTGGGATCAGATCCGCTTCAGGTCCCAGAGGCTGAGTCGGCTCTGCCTTATTAATAACCATTCCCTAACATCCGACTGATATGAGCATGGTCTAGAACTACGATAACTACGATCGTCAGCTGAAAGAACACAAGTCGAATTTGTCAGCCCTTCCCCTGTTCAACTCTCCGCCAAGGCTCAGTGCGATCACATCTAAGCGGTTGTTGGCTGTGTGTCCTTGCAACGAGTAACAAGGATCCTAACAATGTAGGGGATGCGGGTGACAGATGTCTCTGGCCTGCCAACTCGATCAGAATGTCAATCTGGTCTTGCCGGATCATCTCAGCCACCTGCACATCAGCAAACTCATTTTTGTCTGGAGCAAAGGGGGTGCTTGTTCGCGTCGTGCGTCTTCAACGTCAGGTTCCTGTGACTGCGCACTGAACGGTCTTGTGCATTTTAGTGTGCTGTGGATTTACTGGGCCTGAAGCCAGGCGTCAGAATGCCTGACGCAAACGGTTGCGCTTGAGGGTGCAGTTCGCAGAGGTCGAAGAATCCGCCGAGGCCACCGGCCCAGGCGTCTTGGGGGTTACCTCAAGTACCCTCCACCTAATCCTCCTCCCTGCAGCGCAAATGGTTGGACCCACCCTGTTTTTGCCTTCGTTTTCCACCCCCTCGCCCGGCTTCCTGTGATTTTGGCTGACTTTCTTGACGTTTGCCTCCGACCCCCTGACTTTCTGCTGTTTTTTTGCGTTTTTGGGTGCGTGAGACACCCCAGCCCCCCCCCACCCCCTCCCCCCCCCTTTGAGATGTAACCTGGGCGTGTATCCCCTCGCTAAGGCGTACAAGAACACAGGCACACAGGAGTCTCTTTTACTACAGGCGCACAGCTGTAGATCGTACTCTGCTAGAACCTTGAGCAACAGGCATGGATACATGCAAGTGATACGTGAAA